CATCTGATATGTGTTTCTGACTGTTCATTAATATTTCCCCACTAATTGAAACAAGTAAAAATGTATTATTATCTAGAGACTATTAATAACAGGAGGTGAAATGCAGCTCCAGATGTCAGTGGTGATGTCATCAGTAGGCTTCTGTTCCAATTCACCCGTATTTATTCTGCGTGCTCCCGTTCTCCAGGGAAAGGTCTTCAGGTCTTGGTCATGTGACTCTGGATTTTGGGAGTATAACTGAAGCAGAGAAGCCATGTCAGCGCTGCGGTCGGTCGTTCATGACGTCAAAAGGGAAACTAATTCTATGGTGGATATCAGCCCAGCTTCTATTGATGAATTTATCTGCTGACATTTGAAATTACCCGCATCGCTGATCAGAAACCAATCCTTTGAGTTGTTTCCATAGCAACTATAAATGAGTTATGAAGAATTAAGTTTCCAGGGTTTCCAGATCAGCACTCAGTGAATAATGAACCTGCATGCAGACGGAGAGGCAGCAAAATGTTTCCACCTGTAGCTCTGCAGCTTCCAGGTGCGGGTGTGCTGGGCTGCATCTCCATGATGCTGCTGATGGAGGTGCTGCGGATGGCGCCGCTGCTGCTGCTCCTGCTGCACCTCCACCCAGCACGGCGGGACGGTGGCCGAGAAGCGCGGCGTCAGTGTCTCAAACCGTGTCAGCTCCATCAGCGACGCCAGACTCTCCGTGGTCAGAGGTTGGTCCACGAGGAGCTCCACTCCTGCACAAGGGACGGTAAAAAGAAAATCCATCATTTTCTTTATCAGGACCGCATGGCAGGGAATTTTCCTGCTTCCTGTCCTACCTGTGATTCCAGGGCTGGATGGGTTGGAGGAGGGCTTGGCCCCCTCCAGCAGCGGCTCCCCCCCTTTAGAAAGGGTTCCATCTATAAACATATCTCCGTCATCTGCATCCTCACAAACCCCTCCAATTTGAAGGAAATGAAGTTCACCACCTTAAGAGACACAGATGACAAAAACATCAGGAGGAGTGAAGACTGTGAGGAAGTTCTAAGTGGAAACATTTCAGGAAAAACTCCACTTTAGGATGGAAAGGTGTTGCCCTGCAGCAGAAGCATTCCCCATGCAGTGGATAAAAGCTGCATTCTGTCAACATTTCTCAGAAAGCAGCAACCTTGAGTCATTAGATGTGCATCATCCCAGCTCTGCAAAAACCCACCTGTTCATTAAAACCAACATACGAAGAATTAAAACAATAAAAACGGGAAAACAATGGTGAAACAAACCAACAGTTGTACCATGATGCTGCTCTAAATATGGCTCTGGGTTCTCTTGTGACCTCAGCGATCATTTCTGATGGTGCGCCTACATTTCCTAAAGCAAACTTTGGGGAAAAAAAAAAAAAGGAGCCATTTTACCCAAAGCCTAGCTAACAAAGGCTACGTTCACACTGCAGCCTGAAGTGACACAAATCCGATTTTTGGCTCATATGCGACCTGGATCTGATCTTTTCATGGCTATCTTCACAGCACAGATCCTATTTTTTCTAATCCCACCCAGGCCGCTTGGCTCTGTG